CCTGCTGAAACCCACCATCCACAGAGTGGAGCAGCACTGTGCTGCTAAGCAGTTGTTGTACTACTTAATAAGTATGTAAAAACTCAGTGAAACTCCAGCTACTTTTTTCCTTTGTAGATTGTGTGGTCTGTCATCTCTTTTTTACCCCCCCTCAATCAAACCCAATGTCCAGAAACATTATCAATACTAAAGAATCTGTTCATGGCACTGTTTTACAAAGTTCCTAATAGACAGTGACTATTTTATTGTTGGATTTATTCTTTATTTTATTAATGATGAGAAGTAATCAATGGAATGCTAAAAATAAACTCGTAAAAGAAATCTAGTCTGAAATCTGAATCTGTTGTTTGAAGCATGTTCAGTGGTCATGGTAACACCAGTTGAAGATTGACTCTTACCCTTTGTGAAATAGGCATGGCTCTTTTAAAAAGGTCACAATTTTTTCAAATATAGGCACCATGTTTTAAATTTTGCACATACAAAATATGTTCATGTCACTCAAATTACACAATGTGGCAGTGTTGTAAGTCTGAACATTATTGTCAATTAATGGCAGAGAAAAAGAGCCCAAAGCTCATGTAAGACTAATGACTGGGACGAATCTTGAAAAGAGACAAAAAGTATAAAACAACAGTTTTCCTGTTGTATGTGGGTTTGTGTGTGCATGTGTGAGAGTGCATATAACAAAAACTGTTTAAGAGTAAGTTCAGATAATAGCCCATCCATTTGTTCTCAGCTTCTTATCCAGTTTCATTGCTAAAGGCTTTGATTTTAACTGCATGTTAAAATGCAAATTCAAATCCCATATAAACCATTAGTTAGTGTGTTGACTGGTTCAAACCAATCAAAATTGAGAATTACTGCCGAAGGTCTTCCTTTTAGTCTACTTGTCAGCTTCTGGGTATGTAGGATACTTGACTGTCTCAATTTTCTCCTTAACTTTATAGGATGGGTACAGGCCTGTTCTTCCTAATTTTCTATTGATGCCTTTTGAATAACCATCCCAGTGGTTTCCAGCTACTCCAATTACATCTCCAGGTTCCATAGGAATTTCATCTGCAGTTCTTGGATGATGAGCATAAATAGCAATCTGGTTGTGGGCATTCTGTCCCCCAAAGTAGTAGATATCATCCAAAGAATGGAAATATGCTGAAGCATCTGGATGCAATGTCTGCATAATTTCATAGGCAACTCGACAAACCTTAGGAAACAAAACCAAAAGAGAAGTCATAAATATTGTTTGTGCCTGCAATATACCACAGAAGTCAGCAACCAATGTGTAACAATTAGATTCCACAAGAGGATCAAGGTTTGGAATGTCCAGGCTAAAAAAAAAACAAAACAAAACAAAAAACACAAACCCAAAACTGAATAAAACAAGCAAAAAAAGGCAAAACCCCTCCAAAATGCAACGAAAAAAACCCAAACAAACAACAAAAATAACCCAAAAAACCATCCAAAACCCTGCATATTTCTAACAAGAAGCATAACATTTTGCAGCAGCATTTTAATGAGTACTCTGGTGATCAGATCTGGTAGATAAATAAAGCAGATAAATAAATAGATAAGTAATTAGAACAGCCTACTTTTCATTAAGATTTAAAACATCTATATGAACACTTGCCACCCTGCTTTTTAAAATTAATGATGTGTAGCAAATCAAATGTAGAAGCAAATTTGTTTTCCTTTTCTACTACTAATAAAAACTGTATTTTACTTCCCCTTGAACCTTTAGAACTTATATTTTCAAAATTTATTCTGCAATAATGAGGCTTTACATTTACTTTTCTAAAGAAAGATCCAATTTTCACAATTGAGCAGTTCCAGAAAACCAACGCTTTACAATGCTGTTAATATTAGAACTGTTGCAGAATTATGACTGTTGGCAACTTCAAAGACACCTAAATGAAGCTG